GCCTGCAAGCCTGCTCCCCACGGCAGCATCCTACCAGGATACACACACAGAGGCCCAGGACTCCCCTCAATCCTGTGCGCTCTGCCTCTCCAGGGGGTCCCCCGGTTTGGTCCCTGCGTTGCAGACCAGCATCCAAGGTGATGAACAACAGGCTCCTCTGTCCACTGTCATCGTTGCCTGCTCTCATCCTTACCCCCAAGGTCCTCACGCACCAGGGCACCGCCGCCCTCACCTGCCTTGGGATTCCTCCTAAGAAGGCATGTGGGGTGGGAATGAAGTCCTCTTCTTTTTTTTTTTTTTGAGACAGAGTCTCACTCTGTCACCCAGGCTGGAGTGCACTGGTGTGATCTTGGCTCACAGCAACCACCGCCTCCCGGGTTCAAGCTTTCTCCTGCCTCAGCCTCCTGAATAGCTGGGATTACAGGCACGCACCACCATGCTTGGCTGATACTTTGTATTTTTAGTAGAAATGGGGTTTCACCATGTTGGTCTGGCTGGTCTTGAACTCCTGACCTCATGATCCGCCCACCTCGGCCTCCCAAAGTCCTGGGATTACAGGTGTGAGCCACCGCACCCAGCCGGGAATGAAGGCTTCTGTAACATGAGATCTCATTGGCATATCAGATTGCTATCCTGCTTCCTGGGCCTTGGATCTACATGAATCCCCCTCGGCTCTGGCACCCCTGCCCTCTCAGAGTTCGGGAGAAGATGCCCCACACAGTGGGCCCCAGCCAGGGCGGCTTCAGCTTCCCAGGCCTAGACCTGGGTCCTATCCACTGCGCTCAGGAGGAAAAAGTCCTCACCTGCCTCCCTGAACCGAGGCTCTGGCGCCCCCCGCCAGTTTCTGCTCAATGCTCTCTGGTCCCTAGACCATAGACAGCCAAGGCCCACCCTTCCCAGCGCCCCCCGCTCCAGGGTCAGGAGAGAGGAGACAACCCCCAGGGGTTGATCTAAGTCTGGGGGGGTTCGGGAGGACGATGGGCGCCCGAGGTCGTCTTGCACTTGGTGCCAGTTCGCACCGCCTCTGGGCAAGTCAGAAGACGAGGTCCACCCTGAGGTGCTTTACCCACGCATGGCACACACGCCTGTGGTCCCAGCTACTCGGGAGGCTGAGGTGGAAGGACTGCCTGAGCCTGGGAATTCAAGGCTGCAGTGAGGCACAATTGCGCCACTGCTCTCCGACTTGGGTAGAGCGAGACCCTGAGCAACTCTTTTTTTTTTTTTTTTTTTTAAAGACGGGTTTCACCATGTTGGTCAGGCTGGTCTTGAACTCCCGACCTCAGGTGATCCGCCCGCCATGGCCTCCAAAGTGCTTGGATTACAGACGTGAGCCACCATGCCTGGCCCCGCGCAACTCTTAAAAAAGAAAAAGAAAAGTACAGAAAACCACGAGATGCCCTCCCTGCCTCGCTGGCCCACTGTGTTCTGGCGCTGGCTCTCTGGGGCCCTGGCTGTGTGTCAGGAGGCGTCTCCCTGGCCCTCCCCTTCCTGAGGGTGGGGTCTGATCTTGGGCGGGAGCAGCACAGCCCTCCAGGGTCCCCTCTCCCTTAAAAACTTCACTGGGCTCCTGACAACAGCCAGCACACCATCCTGGGTACTGCCCCTCTCTTCCCTCGACCGCACCTGGGTCCTCCACCTCCTGGGTGAGCAGCCAGGGCACTGTTTGAGCCACTGGAGAAGCAAGGGTCACACCACTGCCCACTGTGTCCACTGCCCAGCTGTCCACCCCTCCCTGCCCTCCCCATGGCAAAGCCAGAGGTCCCTTAGGAAACAAAGCCAGCCATGCCAAGCCCACCCTGGCATGACCCACAGCCCCAAACTCCCTGATAAGGGCCAGAGTCTCCAGTGATGCCACACTGCTGATCCCTTTACCCCTTCCACATCGACATCTCCTTTCTATGCCACCTGCCCCCACCCCCACCT